TGAGAATGTCTGAAGACGAGGGAACATCCTCACCTACACCACCTCCATTACCCCCACCCTTACCTCCCAGAGCAGGAGGTGTGGATAATTTACCTCCTCTACCACCTAGAAATACTGATGCTAGATTATCATTAGAAACTGTTATACCTGTAGCTCCTGTATCTCAGTCTACTGGTGATCTCAGGTAAGTTTCACATCTTTTGCTTATGTTTCCAATCTGTTATGTTGTATTTTTATGTTCAAAACACTTTGAAGGGGCAGTATGCAAAATTTTCATTACAAACTATGTCGTAAATTATACCTGAAAATATTTCTGTATCTACCTGTTCAAATTTGCGTTTATTTTACTTAAATCTGTACAAAAGTTTTTTAACAGCTTCCAAAAGCATAACAAACTTAAAAAGTTTACTCAAAATTTACAGAAAAGTGTTGGCAATTAAAGATTAACGGCTTGGTTTTTTAGTTAAAACTTTCAGATATGTTAAGGGACAAATTTCAAATTTTGGGGTATTGTTTTCACAAATTTTAGATTTTGGGGTATTGTTTTCACAAATTTGAGAAAAATATTTTTCTACCACCAAAAAAAAGGGGATGCCCCTTAAAGCAAGAATAAAAAAAAACTTTTGTTAGACACAGTATAGGTATTAGGTACAAGTATTTCATTTAATAAGTTTTTTGGTAAATCTCTGAAATGGTTTCTGTAGAACCAGTGAAATACAGTCAAAATAAACCATGTACATTCTTAGTTTGATCTTTCATTTCATTGAGTTATTTTCAGCAGGAAAAAAGGTTTTGGTAAAGATAGTTATTTATTTGGTCAGCAGATGAAATCCTCATCAGTTGGAGATGTAACAGATAGTATGTCTGAAGGTATTGTATTTTAGAAATATAAACCCATTATCACTCTTCATCTTTGCATATGATTGCAGATTGCATGAAAGTGGTGTAAGAATATTTAAATGAACTATTAATTTTCAAATTAAAGTGTGATCACAATTTGATTTATGAAGGTCTTTATCTTAAAATGTTCAACATTATATATAATATATTTTACAGCAAGTGAACCCTATGTAGATTATGATCCTGCTGTTAACAAATTAAACAGAAAGGAGTAAGTATAATTGTTATATTTACTTTCTAGTCTTATTGTTTCATTTATCATCAAATTTCATTCAAGGTATATTTTACCAGTATATTTTTATTGTACATACAATTTGCTATAAATATATATATTTTAAGCTTGGACATTTCAGTATATAACCATGATTAAATATATAAGCATGAAATATTCATTGCATTATTATTTATTTCTATTAGCAAATCAAAAAATTCATTAAAAAAGAGAAAATCTTCTAGTGTATTTCGGTAAGTAAAGTGTATAATGATGTCCCAGCATGTTGATTATCCCTACTTGATGTACATTTTTAATTTTTGATTTATTTTTCTGTTTGTGATTCAGATTTTTTCAAATAAATTTAAGTTTTCAAGGTAATTGCCAACATAATAGATTTGGGTAACAGGGCTGAATATTTTCTATTCCTTTTGAAGCTGTAAAAATGAATCATGAAATAGCAAAAGGTCGATTTAACTAAAAAGAATAAAGAAACCGGTTATTTGATATCAAGTGACATAAGCCAATCATAACTGCATTACCTAATATAATAAATTAAAGTTTTTTTTCCGAGGAAAAGGTGTTTTCGATCAAATACTATTCATAAGCTCAGGCATTAGATTTTCATATAATTTATTATTATTTTTAAGGATGGTATATTCATTATCAATATTTTTTGGTGGATGTCATATCAATATATTTATATTTGTTTTTTATATTTATTTCTTTAAAACTATTCCATTTATTACTTTATTTATTTTATATTAGGTTGGACTGGGTTTATCCACTTCTTTCACAATTTATAGTGTAATTATTTTGAAGTTTTTTGGATTGTTCTTGTGTAGCTTGACATTGGTAGTAATATAGCTTGCACTGCACGTATATTAAAGGAATAATACGTCTAAGAATGAATATAAAATTGTCAAACTTGGCAAATTCGAGATTGTATTCATCAGACATACCTGGTGTCATAATTATACAACAGATTCCCTGTATAAGAATATAAATCAATAAAATTAAGTAATTATCAGTAAAACTATGAGTGAAACGCTAAATAATTACTCAGCTTTTGAGGATTATGGAAGATTTACATAATCTGTAATAGTGACTTGTAAGGTAACATTTAACAGTATCTTGGTGGTTGGTTTGGATATTTAAGGGACAGGTGCACCATTTTGGGGAGTTGATTTTAATCTTGAATATATGTAAATAGTCTTCAGAAGTACTAGAAATGTATGAAAATCATATAATTCCTTTAGAAATACTTCAGACTAAGAATTTTAGTCACTTTTCCTATAGATGTCTTTTCAATATATCACAGAGTATCTTAAATTGTCATTTTAACATTCAATCGCTGATTTTTCTGGACACGCATGGATTTTAAGGCTGAAATTTAGACAGCTTTGAACACTATGACTGATTGGTTTAACTAAAAAATTCTGGTTTCTGAGACTAAAGTAAAAAGAATGGCCTACCTATCCCTTTAGACACCTGTGCTGAAAATGGTAAATTATTTAATCATTTAGACAATCTATTCATGTGTAATGTGAAGGGTTGTCAGTATTTGAGGCCGATTTTCAGATTACTGCACATTTGCCACTTTTTTCACAAACATAGGATTTTGGGTTTATAATCATTTATGAAATTAGTTGTATTTTCAAAGGAAAATCCCAACATGACTGACAATGATTATGGTCTTTAGTTATAGTCTTAAGTCTATATATTAAATGAGACAATGAGAGCCATGATTGAATGACTTTTGACTTATTATAGATTCAGACTCTGTAAAATTTGAGCATGTTTCTTTTGAAAAGACTAATAACAAAAAGTGAATTCATCAGAATTAGTTTAGATAGATGAGATAGAGGTAATGTGATAGTGTATGTAGGTGTAACAGGTGCATGTTGACTTGACCTAGTTAAGTAGGTATAGATTATGCATCACTGATTCACTTCACTCATCCTTTTGTCAATATATTAACTTAGAGTTTGTTTGATATTAGCACTGATATCACAATTACAGACAGTGTCCTCTTTTCAACTGAAAAGAAGAGATTAAACATGGTTTAGATATCCTAAGTGAAAAATAAGATTGTTGTTTGAAAATGGAAAATATAGATTGTTTTTAACATTCCTTGGTTTACCATGAAATCATGAATTTTTGTGGATCTATGGATTTATATCCCTATGAAATATGATGTGTTAATTGTTGTAAGTCAGATTAAGGGAATAGTCAGCTTTGAAAATTGGTTATCAATGATGATTAAATAAAATTATTCTATAGAATTTTGTGGTTGTTTACAACACAGTTTGTCTAAAAAATCAGATTATTGTCACCATCCATGTATGGAAGCCACCATTTTCTTCATGTCATTGGCACTGTCTGCTAAATTCACTCTTAAAGATAGATTATTCAATGGCTCAATTCAATAATGTTATATGCCAGTCATATTGCTTTGTTTACATTTCTATCTACAACGTGACATCATAATCTCGTATATTTACGTTGTGCCAAAACAAAATATCGGCCTCCATGAACGAGCAAAAATGACATGGATTTCATCATCAACCTGACTCCTTTAATAGGATTTCATGTATATACTGTATATATTTTCTGTCATTGTTTATGCTGCTACTAGTATTGTCAAGATAAAAAAATTCATATATATGTTAACTGGATTATTTCTATTTTTATTATAATGAATTACTATTACTGTTTTACAGAAAGAGTTCAACAGTTGATGAGAAATCTGTTTATTCATCATCATCCTCATCCTCAGCTACATCATATTGTGATAATGATGATTTAGAGAGTATAGTACCACTCAGTTCTCAAACACATCTTATACCTGATGATACCTATTATCTAGAACCTGTAAGTTGTTTTAATCTGATACCTGATGATACCTATTATCTAGAACCTGTAAGTTGTTTTAATCTGATACCTGATGATACCTATTATCTAAAACCTGTAAGTTGTTTTAATCTGAAACCTGATGATACATATTATCTAGAACCTGTAAGTTGTTTTAATCTGATACCTGATGATACCTATTATCTAGAACCTGTAAGTTGTTTTAATCTGATACCTGATGATACCTATTATCTAGAACCTGTAAGTTGTTTTAATCTGATACCTGATGATACCTATTATCTAGAACCTGTAAGTTTTTTTAGCCTGATACCTGATGATACCTATTATCTAAAACTTGAAAGTTGTTTAAGACCTAGACCTAATGCTTATTTACGACGCCTTTAACCGTCTCGTTTCAAAGAAAATAGAATTGTACAAGGAAGCAAGTTGAACCTAGTTGACTGACCCTGTAAGTTGTTTTAGTCTGATACCTGATGATACTTATTATCTAAAACCTGTAAGTTGTTTTAATCTGATACCTGATGATACCTATTATCTAGAACCTGTAAGTTGTTTTAATCTGATACCTGATGATACCTATTATCTAGAACCTGTAAGTTGTTTTAGTCTGATACCTGATGATACCTATTATCTAGAACCTGTAAGTTGTTTTAATCTGATACCTGATGATACCTATTATCTAAAACTTGTAAGTTGTTTGAGTCTGATACCTGATGATACCTATTATCTAGAACCTGTAAGTTGTTTTAATCTGATTCCTGATGATACTTATTATCTAAAACCTGTAAGTTGTTTTAATCTGATACCTGATGATACCTATTATCTAGAACTTGTAAGTTGTTTGAGTCTGATACCTGATGATACCCATTATCTAGAACCTGTAAGTTGTTTTAGTCTGATACCTGATGATACCCATTATCTAGAACCTGTAAGTTGTTTTGATCTGATACCTGATGATACCTATTATCTAGAACCTGTAAGTTGTTTTAGTCTGATACCTGATGATACTTATTATCTAGACCCTGTAAGTTGTTTTAGTCTGATACCTGATGATACCTATTATACAAGGAAGCAAGTTGAACCTAGTTGACTGACCCTGTAAGTTGTTTGAGTCTGATACCTGATAATACTTATTATCTAGAACCTGTAAGTTGTTTGAATCTGATACCTGATGATACGTATTATCTAGAACTTGTAAGTTGTTTTAATCTGATACCTGATGATACCTATTATCTAGAACCTGTAAGTTGTTTTAGTCTGATACCTGATGATACCTGTTATCTAGAACCTGTAAGTTGTTTTAATCTGATACCTGATGATACGTATTATCTAGAACCTGTAAGTTGTTTTAATCTGATACCTGATGATACCCATTGTCTAGAACCTGTAAGTTTTAATCTGATTCCTGATGATACCTATTATCTAGAACCTGTAAGTTGTTTTAATCTGATACCTGATGATACATATCATCTAGAACTTGTAAGTTGTTTGAGTCTGATACCTGATGATACCTATTATCTAGAACCTGTAAGTTGTTTTAATCTGATACCTGATGATACTTATTATCTAAAACCTGTAAGTTGTTTTGATCTGATACCTGATGATACCTATTATCTAGAACCTGTAAGTTGTTTTAATCTGATACCTGATGATACATATCATCTAGAACTTGTAAGTTGTTTGAGTCTGATACCTGATGATACTTATTATCTAGACCCTGTAAGTTGTTTTAATCTGATACCTGATGATACCCATTGTCTAGAACTTGTAAGTTGTTTTAATCTGATACCTGATGATACATATTATCTAGAACCTGTAAGTTGTTTTAATCTGATACCTGATGATACATATTATCTAGAACCTGTAAGTTGTTTTAATCTGATACCTGATGATACCTATTATCTAGAACCTGTAAGTTGTTTTAATCTGATACCTGATGATACCTATTATCTAAAACCTGGAAGTTGTCTAAGATTTAGACCTAATGCTTATTTACGACGCCTTTAACCGTCTCGTTTCAAAGAAAATAGAATTGTACAAGGAAGCAAGTTGATCCTAGTTGACTGATTTTATATGTCTACAGTTTTACTTAACGATACATTTTTGTAGGATGATGAACAAGTTTATGGAAGTCTCGGTCGTACTAGATATTCCACTAAGTTTGACCAGGAACCACTATATCAGTACTATACTAAAGAGAAAGTCATTAAAGCAACTCACCAGAAATGTCTTGAAAGTGATGATGATGATGATGATGATCAAGGAAGTGAAGATGGTGGGTTTATTTTCCAGCCTTAAACAATATCATTCCTATTGTATGCAATTGGAACATCAGCATGAGTTAAACTATTTGCATTCAAAAAATCATGTGCTAGCTAATATAAGTCAGAATTTTGGTAGAGCAATGCTGCCAAAAACTGTTACAAAAACCATTAACTTCATGATTAAAAGTCAATGTTTTCAATTTCTTTCTGTCCATTGCTGCTAATAGTTGGTAAGAAAAATAGAAAGGGTAAGGTTGTTGTTGTAATCACAATAGTTTGTAGTTAATACTCTTTTATTATTAAAAAGATATATCATCTCTTATTTTGTAACTAATAATATGTGTTTGTTGTGACGTCTATTTTCTGATGCTTTATATATCAAATCTCTGTCAAGCTCAGTATTTCTGCAATCTGATTAAGGTACAGATCAAGATGTTTCATTTCATTCATATTTTGTGTTCAAGTAAACAACATTTCTTTAACTATGTATAATCAAATAATTTAAGAAAACATTTATGTAGCTAACTGTATGGCTAAATTGTTTTGAATTTAAGTAAGCCAAGTAGTTCACTAAGTTACCTTAACATATCAGTTTTTGTTGGTGATTGACAGTTATAAACACAAAGCCTTTTCTTGTGAGAATATTCAACTGTACCATTTAACCAATATTCTCAAAAGAAATGTCAAATTAGATGTTTAATTAAACATGCATAATGTTCAGATTTTGATATCTCTCTACAATTAATGTACTATTTCAACAGTGAAAATATTTGTTATTGTATTGTTCAGATATATTTTTATATTGACCATCATCTGGGATAAATTATCAGACAAGTGAAACTAATGTTATAATAATATATATTCTATTTAAGGTGATCGTATCTATGAAGATGTAGGTTTTAATGAAGTAGAAGAAACAAAGAAGAATTCTGATAGCAGTCTCCTTAAACCTCGAATATCTTTTGAGAAAGGAGGTTCTTTACACAGAGCTCTTTGGTGTGAAATGCCTGAAGTAAGTACTTTTTATCTGTACGAATATAAAGCTGTGTTTACACTTTTTATATGCCCACACATTAATGTGGGCATATATAGCTGTCCTGTCCTGTCCTGTCCTGTCCTGTCCTGTCCTGTCCTGTCCTGTCCTGTCCTGTCCTGTCCTGTCCTGTCCTGTCCTGTCCTGTCCTGTCCTGTCCTGTCCTGTCCTTGTCCTTGTCCTTGCCCATGAAAATTTCACTCTCAGAGACATTCATTTACTGATAACTCTAGTCAACCTCCCGAATAAATTAGCTGACATTACAAATGGGCGTATTACGATGGCATTGCTATTTGTTGAAATTTGGTCTGCTTGAAGTGAACAGTACTCGGTACTACTGACAGGTTACACTGCGTCGTGTTTACTGGGTCAGAATAGTGAGTCATCAAGTACATAATTATATATGTGCTCTCCAGACAGTAGAGCCTAAAAAACTCAGGATAATTTTTGGCAATCTAAACAAGGTAGTGAGATAATGTTTCAACTTGAATTGTTACTTAACAAAAGTGACCAAACATATAATTTATATTTTAGGTGAAAAAGAGTGGCATTTTAGCTAAAATGTCTGAAAAAGATAAGAAAATTCAAGAAGCCATGTTTGAAATTATTACTTCAGAGGCATCCTATTTAAAAAGTTTAAATATTGTGATAAATGTTTTCCTGTTTTCACAAGAATTTTCTGCTGATCATTCAGATCGCTGTGTTCTTACTAAACGTGAAAGAACTGTGTTATTTTCTAATATTGGAGCTATAAGAGACACCAGTGAAAAGTAGGTGTTCTTTTGTTTTTAGTTTTTATTTGTTCCTTGTTCTAAGAAAGAATGGTCTAGGATACTACTGAATAAAATAATGTAATTTCTCAAATATAGAACTATGTACAGTGGGTTGAAGTTTTTTAACAACCTCAATTCTGTCTCCATTTTCATAAATATGTCTCTATAATGTACCTGTAATGTTCATGTTTTCTAGGTTTTTAGCTGATCTAGAAGAAAGATGGAAGGAATCGTGTATATTAAAAGATATCTGTGATATTATTTATTCTCATGCTTCGCGCAATTTTGAACCATATATAAGATACTGTAGTAACCAAAAATTCCAGACTAAAGCCTTAGATATTCTCAAGTAAGCCAAACAATATTTTTGTTATCTGGTTATTTATTCATTTATAAGGTTTGAAGGTATTTATTCAGATAGATCCTGGTCACATGTATTTTCTTACATCCGTCTCTATGTTTAATGTGGAAAGCCATGTCAACTTCATTCATATACATTAATTTTTTGAGTTAGTGACTTGTTCACAGACTATGAACACTTTGTTCCTTGCATTAGTCACTAAAATATTCCAAAGAATTAGAAATTGTAAACTAATGCAGATTTGGCAACTATTAAAAGATTTGGTTCTTTCATTGTCTTTTGTTTTTGTATTTTTTTATTTATGACAAATAGCTTATAGAGTAATGATGGAGTAATGGACATAATCAAGCAGTATATTAAAGTATTTTCTCTTCAGTCTTGACTGTGTAGTTAATTTTATTCATGATAGATATGATAATGTATTAAAACCATTTATTTATTACAGGAAAAAGGCAGATTATCAGGAAGCAGTTCGTCGTTTAGAGTCTAATCCAGACTGCCAAAATCTGCCCATGTCTTCATTTTTACTGTTACCCATGCAGAGAATAACTCGTCTTCCTCTATTAGTTGATGCTATTTGTCATAGATTAGAACCTGGTATCACTCTTCATAAATCAGCATCTAAAGCATTAGATACATTAAATAAGGTAAGAAAATGCAGACTGATAGAAATAAAAAGTTGAAATTTCTGACTGTTTTGGTAAAAAGTTTATGAGAAAATGAATTTGTTCAAGTATTACTGCAATTTTCTAATATGACTGCTCACTTTCAATACCTCATTTGTTAATTTGTTGTCAAGTGGAGGGAGTTTTATCTTGTATACCTTTTTATACGCCCACATCTCTCTATGTGGACGAATATTGTCGGCACCCCTGTCCATCCGTCGGTCCGTCCCGTCAACATTTGCTTGTAAACGCTCTAAAAACTAGATTTTTTGATGGAATCAAGTATGTGTATACATAGTCATAAAACGAAGATCAAGTTCGAATTTGAGCTATTTTCGACTGTTATAAGCAGAGTTATTGCCCTTGCCCCCAAATCTTGAATATGCTATTACTCTCTTAGTTTTCAACCGATTTTGATGAAACTTAAAATGGATGTTATTGGACCTAAATCGAAAGGTTTGAGAAAGTTAAGTTTACTTCTGATTAAATTTAAGGCTTTTTCAAGATTTAGGCCTCTTACGTCAGTTTTGAGGAGTTATCTCCCTTTAACCACTATACAGTAAGTGCTTCTATCAACATCAATTGCTCGTAAACACTCTAAAAATAAGAGTGTTTGAAGGAATCAAATGAAATTCGGTATGTGCATACATATTCATGAAACGAAGATCAAGTTCGAATTTGAGCTATTTTCTGCTGTTAGAAGCAGAGTTATTGCCCTTGCCCCAAAATCTTGAATATGTTCTAAGTTTTCAACCGATTTTGATGAAACCTAAAATGAATGTTTCGTTTTTACCATCCGCATGCCGTGGTAGGCGTATATGACTGTGGTCCACTATCTTTAGATTGACACTATCATACTTAACCACTTCAAATCTGAAAATATTTTTATTTGATTTTATGATAGAAAGCATATATGACAATTGTGAAAAAAGATATGAAGCTTGAAACATTTCTCCTATTATTCAGTGATAGTGCTGTCTATTATGAAATTTTTCTCCTGAGATATTATTTATAATGTTGGTATACACTCAACAAATGATTTAAAACATGATAAATTGTGATAATATTTGTAGTTGGTAAAGAGATGTAATGAAGGTGCTAAAAAGATGCACCAAGCAGAGGAAATGTGTCAAATAGCTAGTCAGTTAGATTTTTCTAGAGTTAAGGTAAGCTGTAGTAACCTTTACTTTCAACAGTGGTAACTTTGAAGGACCGATTAGTCTAAACACAAGTAGTACTGATAGTAACCTTGTGAACTAATTAGTCTTGGAATCAGTAGTAACCTTGTGAATTAATTAGTCTTGGAATCAGTGGTAACCTTGTGAACTAATTAGTCTCGGAATCAGTGGTAACCTTGTGAACTAATTAGTCTTGGAATAAGTAGTAACCTTGTGAACTAATTAGTCTTGGAATCAGTAGTAACCTTGTGAACTAATTAGTCTTAGAATCAGTAGTAACCCTGTGAACAAATTAGTCTTAGCACTGGTAGTAAACTTCTGAACCAATTAGTCTAAGCACTGGTAGTAACCTTCTGAACTGATTAGTCTTAGCACTTGTATTAACCTTGTGAACCAATTAGTCTTAGCACTGGTAGTAACCTTCTGAACTGATTAGTCTTAGCACCAGTATTAACATTTTGAACCAATTAGTCTTAGCACTGGTAGTAACTTTCTGAACTGATTAGTCTTAGCACCAGTATTAACATTGTGAACTGATTAGACTGAGCATTATTAATAACTTTGTGAATGGATTAGTTTTAGCACCAGTAGTAACCTTGTTAACATATTAATCTTAGCACCAGTAGTAGCGTAATGAGCCCATTAGTCTTAGTAAAATTATGAACCCATTAATCTTAGCACCAGTAGTAACATTGTGAACCATTTGTCTTAGCACCAGTAGTACCGTAATGAGCCCATTAGTCTTAGTAAAACTATGAACCCATTAGTCTTAGCACCAGTAGTAGCATAATGAGCCCATTAGTCTTAGTAACTTTATGAATCCATTAATCTTAAAACCAGTAGTAACATTGTGAACCAATTAGTTTTAGCACCAGTTATAACATTATGAACCCATTAGTCTTAGCACCAGTGGTAAGCCCATTAGTCTTAGTAACTTTATGAACCCATTAAATCTAAAAAAAAATTCTAATTGAGGGGTGATCATTATCCTTCATCAGCAGGAATGCTTTTCGGAATGGCCTAAGATGCAAGTGAATAAATCCTCATTTCTTTCATTTTCTAAGGGAAATGAGGGTCCCCCACTCTTAACCCTGGCACTTAAGTATTTTTGTAAGCTTTGTTAGGGTCAAATTTAGGAATGTAATCCATTTAAGATCTAAAACTTACAGTTATACCATTCCTAATTTTGGCCCTATTGGACCTCTTATTTTTGAGTGCTAGACAGACTGTATTTATAATTTACCCTGATGCTCTGAACTAAAACATAATATCAGCATCTAATTGACATGTTATCAGCTTATGTTTTAATGAATGTTCTTTTATCATATCCATAAGTATGACTTGATGTATGTACATCTTATTTCAGGAATTTCCTATTCGCTCTGCTTCACGGTATTTAGTAAAGAAAGGGGATTTAGTCAGAGTCATCAATGATGGTAGTAGAATGCCATTTGGTAAAAAGAGTGGCACAAAACATAATGTAACTCTGTATCTTTTTAATGATATCATGATACTAACTAAGAAAAAAGGGTAAGTTGTTATTAAGGAATATTTCAGCCATTATTGTAGCAACAATTCTTAGTTTCCAATGTATATTGTTATGTAAGAATTCCATTTATCCCATGTGTGGAATTTCATGGTAAATGTTTAGTTTATTGGTATTTGTTTCTAGTAGATTTCTTCTTTGCTTCCTTTACATGCCAAATTTTCAAATATTTACACAAGATTATCTCTTTCAGCAACCAGTTTGTAGTAACCAATTACTGTCAACGTAATTCAATACATGTAGAAACTATAGATAATATTGAGAAATGTTCACATTTACCATTTGGAGTACCTAGTGGTTGTAGAAATTTATTTTTAATGGTTATGTTAGAGAATAATGAGGATAAACAAATGGAAATGGTTTTATCATGCAATTCACCGTGAGTAACTAAAGCAATGAAAGCCTAGTTTGATATCCAATCTCTTAATCTTGCTACTATCATGATAACTATGAATTAACTGATTTAAAGTCTCACAGACGTCATACAAAAACTACATTTGGATATGTTATATAAATATGTCTGTTTACATAAGGAAAACTCCATTTACAGTAAAAAGCTATATAATTTCAACTTAAAAGGATACTACATTTTAGAATGGACATACACATTTAAAGTTTCAAACTTGGTCAACAAGTAAAAATATAAGTATACTAGTATAAATTCATCAGTTAGGCTTTTAGGTGCCATGACTAACAATAGAATCTCTATATAAGACAAAGCATCCATTAAACTAAATAATTATTAAATAACGCTTCTAAACAGATTTCAAAATTACTAATTTTAATGAATTATTACTTAGTTGTATGGATTAATTGGATTATAGAGATTCTTTTTGTATAAACTAGTGTCCAAAAGAAACGATACAACCTGTTTGCAACGACATAAAAGAAAAACTAAACAATGCAGAAGTTTAGGATTGGTGTTATGCTTTTGAGAAATCCTTTCACAAAATCTGTACAAAAATTTCATTTCAATAAAATCTGTACAACCAATATGACAAGCCTTTAAAGATGGGTGGGGTCGAAAAAAGAACATTTCGTTAGAGCACTGATCACAGAAACAACGGGAAATGTCACACCACACTTCACAAAGTCAAGTCAGTAGCGGGTATGTCCACCGTGAACATCATTACATGCCAGAACGGACTGATGCCTTCAAACGTCTGATGATGTTGGGAGTGATGCGTTGCCATTCCTCAAGGGGACATCGTTCCAAGCCCTGGACGTTGACTGGAGGCACACGGCAACGTTGGATTTGCCGATCGAGGTGGTCCCATAAGTGCTCGATGGGATTCATGTCCGGTGAACATGCGGGCCATGGCAAAACCTATGTTGGCGTTGGCAAGGAAGTTCTGTGTCAAACTTGCTGTGTGTGGCCTTGCATTGTCATGTTGGAAAAGGAGTCCACGAGGCTGTTGCTGAATAAAGGGCACTACAACAGGCCGTAGGATGTCATCAATATAACGCTGTGCATTCAGGTTTCCACGAATTACGACAACCCTCTTTTTGATGTCAGCACATATGCCATCCCCAAACCATTAACCCTCCACCTCCAAACGGCCGGACCTGTTGGATACAGTTAGGCGCCAAACGTTCACCAAATCGTCGGTATACAAGCTGTCGTCCATCGTTTTTGAAGATGAGGAATCTGCTCTCATCAGAGAACATAACATGTGCCCAGTCCCGCCGTTGCCACCGCTGCATCAACCTGGTGATAGTGATGCATGCGCAGCCCAATCTTCTGACAAACGTCGACGTGTGTCGCTCCTTGTTGGACCATTCCAACGGCTCTCTCTCTCTCGATGGCTGTCAAACGTGGCATATCTTGTGTTCTTTTTGTTGCTGTGATATCAACTTGTCTGATCAGACATTTTATACAGTTTTTATGCACGTGCAGAACATGCTAGAGAGGGAAATGTCACTTTCACGAAATTTACGTTTTTTCCCGGAAGTGATCACGTGTTCCCGGTATTTTTATCGACTATGCTGTGTTTAGGATGTGCAATACGAATTGGCATATTTTCATATTAGACAATTCACTTAGTAAAAAACAATTTTGAAAATAAGTTGGTGTCGTTTCTTTTGGACACTAGTTTAGTTATGACACCAGGTTATCTTATCTTTTATTTTTGACATCAATCATATTTGTAATTATAGGAGTGATAGAACACGTTGGATAGATGCTGTTACATCTTCTAAGAATGTAGATGATTCTGATAGAGTGTATGAAGAATGGGGTAAGTTTAATAAAACTTTTCTTTTCTTATAGATTTTTTTTATAAATATGTTTTGTAGATGTTCCCAAAAAAGTGTAAAAATTATGTTGTTTATTGTAGATAGTCCAGTAGCTCATTGTAAAAAGAAATATGTTGGCTAGGTCAATGTATAAACAAAATATGTTGTTTATTGTAGATTGCCACAAGTTCAATGTATAAAGAAATATGTTTTTTATTGTAGATTATCCACAAGTTCAATGTATTAAGAAATATGTTGTTTATTGTAGATTGTCCACAAGTTCAATGCATAAAGAAATATGTTGTTTATTGTAGATTATCAACAAGTTCAATGCATAAAGAAATATGTTTTTTATTGTAGATTATCCACAAGTTCAATGTATAAAGAAATATGTAGTTTATTGTATATTATCAAAAAGTTCAATGCTTAAAGAAATATGTTGTTTATTGTAGATTATCAAAAAGTTCAGTGTATAAAGAAATATGTTGTTTATTGTAGATTATCAACAAGTTCAATGCACAAAGAAATATGTTTATTGTAGATTATCCACAAGTTCAATGTATAAAGAAATATGTTTTTTTATTGTAGATTATCAACAAGTTCAATGTATAAAGAAATATGTTTATTGTAGATTATCCACAAGTTCAATGCTTAAAGAAATATGTTTATTGTAGATTATCAACAATTTCAATGTATTAAGAAATATGTTGTTTATTGTAGATTATCAACAAGTTCAATGTATAAAGAAATACGTTTATGTTAGATTATCAACAAGTTCAATGTATAGAGAAATATGTTGTTTATTATAGATTATCAAAAAGTTCAATGCTTAAAGAAATATGTTGTTTATTGTAGATTATCCACAAGTTCAATGTATAAAGAAATATGTTGTTTATTGTAGATTATCAAAAAGTTCAATGCTTAAAGAAATACGTTGTTTATAGTAGATTATCAACAAGTTCAATGCATAAAGAAATATGTTGTTTATTGTAGATTATCCACAAGTTCAATGCTTAAAGAAATATGTGGTTTATAGTAGATTATCAACAAGTTCAATGTATAAAGAAATATGTTGTTTATTGTAGATTATCAACAAGTTCAATGCACAAAGAAATATGTTTATTGTAGATTATCCACAAGTTCAATGTATAAAGAAATGTTTTTTATTGTAGATTATCAACAAGTTCAATGTATAAAGAAATATGTTTATTTTAGATTATCAACAAGTTCAATGCATAAAGAAATATGTTTATTTTAGATTATCAACAAGTTCAATGTATAATGGAATATGTGATTTATAGTAGAATATCAACAAGTTCAATGTATAAAGAAATATGTTGTTTATTGTAGATTATCCACAACTTCCATGCATAAAGAAATATGTTTATGTTAGATTATCCACAAGTTCAATGCATGAAGAAATATGTTTATTGTAGATTACCAACAAGTTCAATGCATAAAGAAATATGCTGTTTATTGTAGAAGAATTACACGGTATCACACAATTTGATTGGATAACACATTGAATTCGGTTTATATCTGTGTAAATGGAATGTAAATATAAGCTCCACCCCTTAACAGACTACTTTAATCATTGAGTTTGATTGACGTGGCCACTACACAGCGTCGATGTCTTTCCTTCGAACGTCACCAGAGCAGAAATCTACATTTCACTGAATGATTATGGTATTTTCCAAATTCTTTCGAATGTGCACTCTCCAAATATCAACAAAATCATGATTTTTAGACTTTTTTCGAACTCTTCTTTCAATGATTGAACTTTAAATGTGGCTGCTCCGTCAACTTTCAAGCAGTAGACAGTAGACTATAAATAGGTGACCTACTTATTGCTTATTGGCTGTTCTCTAGGACGTCTATAGTGTGTGTATCAGTTCATTAACGTTATGTTTAAATTTTAGGTATTTAGTGCCTTAGTTTGTTGTTATTTTAGATAAATATTTAAACACGTATTCAAGTTGATTTAATTATAAGGAATGACCTGAACATTTTTTCAGTTTATCGATGTATAAACAGAAAAAACCTGTGTACATTGTATAAATTCGTGTAGCAGTTTATACATAAGTGTACACAGGTTTTTTCTGTTTATACAACGATAAACTGAAAAAATGTTAAGGTCATTCCTTAATTATCCGCAAGTTCAATGTATAAAGAATTTTGTTTATTGTTGATCATTAACAAGTTCAATGTATAATGGAATATGTGGTTTATAGTAGATTATCAACAAGTTCAATGTATAAAGAAATATGTTTTTTATTGTAGATTATCAACAAGTTCAATGTATAAAGAAGTATGTTGTTTATTGTAGATTATCAACAAGTTCAATGTATAAAGAAATATGTTTTTTATTGTAGATTATCAACAAGTTCAATGTATAAAGAAGTATGTTGTTTATTGTAGATCATTAACAAGTTCAATGTATAATGGAATATGTGGTCTATAGTAGAATATCAACAAGTTCAATGTATAAAGAAATATGTTTTTTATTGTAGATTATCAACAAGTTCAATGCATAAAGAAATATGTAGTTTATTGTAGATTGTCCACAAGTTCAATGTATAATGGAATATGTGGTTTATAGTAGAATATCAAAAAGTTCAATGTATAAAGAAATATGTTTTTTATTGTAGATTATCAACAAGTTCAATGTATAAAGAAATATGTAGTTTATTGTAGATTATCAACAAGTTCAATGCATAAAGAAATATGTAGTTTATTGTAGATTGTCCACAAGTTCAATGCATTAAGAAATATGTTGTTTATTGTTCATTATTAACAAGTTCAATGTATAATGGAATATGTGGTTTATGGTAGAATATCAACAAGTTCAATGTATAAAGAAATATGTTGTTTATTGTAGATTGTCCACAAGTTCAATGTATAAAGAAATATGTTGGTAGAGAATCTGATGAATTATCATTAGAAGTGTCTGACGTTATTAATGTTCTTAAAAAATCCAAAGATGGTAAGTGTGTCTTGTTTGATTTGTACTCACCCATAACAGTTACCCAGATAAAAAATTTACTGATTGATTTGCATAGTTTTTTTTTCAAATGGTACATGATTTATGTTTCTCTGTTATCCATTTATTTGTTTGAACTTTAACCTTACTCTTATAATATTTCAACTATATTTACAGAATAATGATTCTGAAGGTAAAATAAAACTGCTTGCTAGGCCTTTCCCCCTTTTTTCTTTTTTATTGAATAGAAAGTAAAAGATTTACATAATTTGAAGAAAAATCTTTTCAGTTCCTGTATGACAGCAGAACACTTTAAAAAACATTTCTACAAAAACTTTTTACTGTATTAAAATTTTTGGAATAGAACATTAGAAAAGAAATTTTATTTCAATTGAATGATCATATCGTTTAAAATAAATTTGATGATTGCTTATTATATGTCCCATATTTGCTATCTCCCCTAATAGCTTTGAAGTTTAATCTTTTAGTGAGTCTGTTATTTGTAATGTTACAATTTGAAGGATAAATATTATTATTTAGAATTTTAAATGTTTAAAAGTTTAATAAATTATATCATTTTGTCAATTCGAAATTTATGATATTTATAACAGTGTTATGAGTTGAATGAAAATTTTAGGAATGTTTGAAGGGGAACGAATCCATGATGGTGAACGTGGCTGGTTTCCTGTTGATCATACAGAAGAAATTTTAAATTCTCACGTTAGAGCTCGTAATCTTAAGATGCGTTACAGACTGTTAATTAAAGCTTCTGAAGAATACAAGAGAGACAGTAGGGCCTAGCCACTGGAATGAAGTTTGAAGAAAAACAAAGAGTATTGAAGATGTTGTGTTTGCTGGATCAAACAAGACCTTATAATGTTTCCTTAAAACTCTGTTTAGAAATTAAGGAGTTAGATTGATCCATTATACATTGCAGGGACAGTATATATATATAACCTTATAACTTACACCATTTTATTATATTTTTGCTTAATTAATTGTGGCATATAATATTCATATATAGAAAAATCTACTAAATTCACATCACATTTCAGAAATTTTCAATATCTGAACATATTTAATATGTTTTTCAGAAATTTTGATATATCAAGTTTTATCATTGCTTTATGAACCTATTCATTATGCTTCAATGACATGTGATGTAATTGATCTATATGCTTAATTGATTCATGCTTAAATTATGGTGCTTTAAATGTTAATACCACACAATAATCATGCTTTATTTATACTTATCATTTTATGTACATTGAACATGAATATGTATCCATTTTAGTTTCACTATAAGTGTACTTATGAATTCTGTATATTGCTTAAACATAGTCATTTTTGTTATTGGTGAATTTTAGAATTGGAATTCATGATCACTGCCTGTTAATCTCATTGATATTTTTATTAATTCATGCTATGAAGGTAATAAAAATAGTTTAGCAAAGTCAATGTTGAAATTTCATTCATAGTGTTGATGCTCAATATGTTTTCTGCAAAAGAATATTAAACTTAGATTAGATGATGATGATAAAACATTTGTAATTTTCAAAACCTAAAATAATGAAAAAATAATTGTAATTAAGCAATATGGCAAATAATAAGTTAATTTCATACTTTTTTTTATAAGAATTTACACACTTTGATCTCTGGCTCATATTAAAAATTTGACATGTTGTAGATCTATGGAAGTCAATGACAATATATTTAGATAATATGTATTTGAGAATTTAAATGTTCAATAGATCTGATAGTGCAATAGACTGTTCAATACAAACAGTTGATCTTTTGGGTTTTCTTATATATTTCAATGCACTGATTAATGGAGTCAGTATTTAATTAGTTGGATAAGTTAGACAGTCTAAAGCTGAAAGATGATATTGAGTTATAGGCAATTATTGTCTTGATCTGGCAAATGCCTATTTTAGGGCATTTTATAATCCTATGTATAACAGATTCTAAACAGGCAATTTAATAAAAATTAGGTTGAAGGATTCATGTAAATATTGCTTATTTCAATAGGTCTTAGTAATTGAGTGTATATGATTTATCAATGTAGTAGGTATATAAACCTACTTTTAGATGATGGCATAATGTTAATACATCACTTTTATATCATCTTTAATGATTTGTTGATTAGTGTACATTTGTTGATAATTGTATTTAACTTCGTGAAAATCTTCAATATAAATTTATATAGAACAGATTTCATTAGATATAGAACTTATATAACATTGCGAACAGATCATAACAATATTTGTTTATCTTGAAGAAAAAATATTTCGAAGCTGCACATTCCTTGTTCAATAATATTGAAACTATTTTATAAGATCTGTATACAATCCTAAACCAAAGATATTCAACTAATGAAAATAAACCATTTTTATAGATAAATCATATCTTAAACACATATCATTATGTAATACTACCAAATTTATACTTTTATAATATAATTTAACCACACTCCAAATAACTTTATTTCTTTTATAAACTAATTAATAGATAATGATAATCTTTCAAAACATATTCATGTTCACATAAGTATTTCACACAAAATATTTGACTTTACTTAAATATATTTGATTTGAATAAACTTGTACATCTGGTGATCCATAAATTATTCAGCAAGTAATGAATGCTTCAAAAATCTGGTTGAACTTAAAATGTAATATAAAGACAATGTTGTTAATAAAAAAAACTATAATTGTTTATATTTAAACTTACACATTGTTCAATAGTAGTAATCAGTCATTCTTTGTTTATTATTTATCTTATATTTGTTATTATTGTTTGTTTATTGGTCAATATTGTTTACATTCCACTCAATACCATATTCTATATTAATTTGACAGTCATGTCACACATTAGTTTTGTGCTCATTTGGTAATATTTTAAAACATAAACACAATATACATACTTTTGAGATAAAATAAAAGGTAATTGAAACTAATTAACGATTTCTGCATTTAGTTTATGTTTTGATGTGTGGCCAGATGTGCACAAAGTTCTTTGCTCCACTATATACCATAGAAAAAAATGTTCTATGAATGATCATTTATACAAATAATACATAATGTATAACATACAATAGTTTTTAGTGTTGGAGAGCCAAATATTCTAATATACCCATCACATTAATATTACAATATTGTTTTAGTGTTATCTTAAGATTTTAATAAAGGTGACAAGTGAAGAAATACCAGAGCTCAATGTTAGTCATAATGACATTTTACCAACTAGAGACAAGGACTGTCACTATTTCATTACATTTTGATTAATTTTATATTTTCATCAATGCCATGACATATATTGTGCCATTGTCATACATGTAATCTTACATTCCTATTTTAAATTATATTATTATAGAATAAAGGGAAACCTAGCAACACTTATATTTTTAAAAAGAATAAGCTTTTAATTTGATCATAGATTGTTCTTTTTTTTTTAAATACCAGAATTCTGAATTAAAACCAAAATGGCTACCAATAAATAAAACTAGATGAGGAAATTATATGTACAATAAGAAAGTATTAGTAATTGTGTTCATTTTTTTAGTTAATAATTTATAATATTTCTCCATGTGCTTTCATCTATCATTCTCTAAATCTTTCATTTCTATTCTAGCTGTAGTCCATTTATGTTGTTTTGTAGCTCCTGTATTTGTAAATGTTGAAATATATCTTCTGTCAACAATAATACGCAATCAGTATAGTGATTCACAAATAACTTTATAGTTGACACATTAGGAAAATACAGTTAGTGTCAGATATTTCTACTCAACCAGGTTTGATTCAAGCAGTCCATTTTATTTTTTAAGTAGTTTTATTAATTAGTCTGTAGAATATGTATTACTATTATTCTACAGTAAAGTGGACTGCTCATATTTGCACCTAGATCAGAAAGATCTTGTTAGAACTATAGATTCATTGATATTTCAGTCAGACATTAATTTTATAAGGTTACTATAATCTGTAAAACATAATTGATATTTTATGTTAAGTATTTTTGTTGTTATCATTTTTTATGGCTATTAATGTTTTGTATATTATATTCCTGTATACAAATATACTATCAGTATATGGAATAAAAAAAAAGTCTTTTGCTAATGTACATTTTGTTATCAATTCAGATGAGGAAATATTAATTTTTGAGCGAGCGAATGATGCAGAATAATGTCAACATCATCCTAGGCTACTGTCTCGGCTGATCAGAAACAACTAATTCTTCATTAGTATCTTTTTAGTGACTTTGCAAACTTAGGTTGTTGTACAATTTTGAAACCCCCATTTCTGAAGAAAAGCTCTCCTGTTGATTTTTTTTTGTTTTTTTTTTTATCTGAAATGCATATCAATAGCATGGGGCTCCAGTCAACAAAATGTCATTTGCTTTCTATTTCATCAGAGAGGAATTTAAAACTTAGATCTTGCCACTTTTGAAAAATAAAAAGATATTCAGTTTCTTATTATGCTCTATAATTTAAATAAAAATTACAATCATTTTATCAACAATAACTCACACTGACTAGCACCTCAATCATGGAAGACATTGACCAAATAGTAATCTTCTTTTTAATACACAAGTCAATTCATTTCTTCTTTTTATGTTCCACTGGACTACTTTCATTAAAAGCAGAACTGAATAATAGTCCTAAAATTATTACTCCATGACAAACATGTAACATTGTACTACTTTCCACCGTGGAAGGATAAGTATTCCATGATAATTCCATTACGCCTAATGTAAGCATTCTGTGGAGAAAAAAAGTAAATTAAGAAAATTTTCTGATGGCTTCATATTCTTTCTTCTTGTTGATCAAAATAAAACTTGCACAAAACTAGGTTCTTAAAAATGCTCCAAAAGTGACATGGACTTTCATTGCCAGAATATTAGTGATAATCTTAAAGATGATTTGAATGCAATACAGTGAGATAGAAAAGTTGAAACTCACCTAATAACTGTAGGTAAAGGTGTGGACCATAATAAATAATGTAAACCATGAAAATACCAAATATAAAACTGGTAATGTAATGATCTACTAAAACTCATTCCAATTAAATTCACTGTTAGTAATGGTAATAAAATTTCTATTTATTCAAGTTAAGGCCATACATTCTATTATTTTTCATCAATATCAGATATGCAGTATGTATTCACAGGTTAATTTTGATGCATATTGGCAATAACTCACAATATGTATATCAGAAATTTAATAAACTCTAACTCATCTGATATATTGGTGATGCATACCAGGTTTCAACAAAATCAAACGCAAACTGTGGTATCTTTTGTGTCCAGATCAAAAATTGATAGAACGATAGATTGTGAGGCACTATCACCTGTCCAAATTTCCTGTCATAGAAAAGGATACGGTTAGCATTTAATCTTCTTTTATAAGGTGACATCCATATACTGAATGATACATTAGGATATAGTCTGCAATAAAATAATTAGTCAACATAAAATCTTGTTTTTGATCGGCTTTAGACTGTTAAACAGTTCTGAATTTAACAGTCAAACTCAAAACTTTAATGATCAGAGGGTTGTATTTAAAAATCTAAAAGACCTAAGTACTAAATCATAGTCTACAGAATAGCTGGATATGGAAAAAACAGAACAGCACCAGTTGCATTGTCATATGTTATATCTACATCCAGCAAAAATCAATGAAATTTTTGACTTTAATAGTTCGCTATTAAAGTACTTACTTTCTGAATTTGATAAAAATAAATATCAATAACAGCAAAATATGGCTAGCTAGTAAAGCCAACTGGAAATTACGATTTAAAAATACTTCTTCTTGTATCAATCTCCAATTGACTGTCCATTTATAGAAAAACTGACGTCCCAGATCAAATGATCTCATAACATATCCTACAGCATTTACTTTTAAAAAAGGAATTGCCAGTAATACCTGAAGATAAAATTACTCATAAATTAAATCCATTTCCCTCTTGCTTTAGACTTCATAAGATATCCAGAGCTGTGTATGACACAAAACAGTACAATGTGATAGAACTTGGCTGATCAATAATATAGGTATATACAACCACCTACCTGGGGCAAGGCACAAACAGTTAGATGTTTGATAGTACCTAATGTACCTTGTGATATCATTAATAATATAAACAAAGCTGGACTAAATAGTAACAAATTCATCTTGATAGAAACTCCTAAACTATAACAAATAAATAATAAATCATTATACATGTAGTTTCATTATGACAAAATCTGATGATCTTGCTCACTATGTTGCAGAGTATATTTATTGAAAGAAATCATTTAATGATCATCCACTTTTTTCAGGCAACATTCCAAAGCACAAAACACAATTGTTTTATTGCTTGAAGATTATTCCAAGTTTATATGTTGCAATCGCATCACAAGATTAGTAAAGAAATATCTAACTCACTGAGCTTCAGCAGCCAGAAAAAAGTAAAAATTTTCAATTTGTAAAATTTTGAAAATCTTTTACCTATACATAAGACATCCAAGTGTCCAATGTTGTCTGATAAATAAATCTATAGCTATATACATAAATAACATAGCTACTGGATCATTGAATAGTCGTAGTATATAGATAGAGTGTATTCTATATGATGCACAACACATAAAGCAGAATGCATATGGTGGGACCTGAAAATAATGTAAAATTAATTGTGACCAATTTTGTAGGAATTTTATATTATTTCGCCCAAGAAAAAGAGTATATTAACAAAATGTTCTGATAAAAAGGATATTACCAATCCTTCAAAATGGAATTACACCAATAAATCTAGATCATGTGATTAATATTCTATTTGTATTTTTGAGTTTTTAAAGTGACTTGCCATGTATAGAATTATCTCAGACTCATTTCCGTTTTTAAATAGCACCAATCTCATTTCCATGCCCACAAAACGAAGTGCAGTGGGCTTAGTTTAATACGGGTTAATAAGACCATGTCAAGACCAGTATTTATGATACGATGCAATATCATATACTTACTCTTCTTGCCCACCGATATATATCAAACACAACTAATAAGGTCAGGATATATAAGATAGCAAATATATACTGAGCTAATCTGATATTTACTCCATGATCTGTTATATAATATAAAGCTGTATAGATATAAACAAAACCTGCAGGATATCTATAAAAAATATAAGAAAATACAACACTTCAAGGTATCCATTGCACTCTAATCCATTTTTTTGTAACATTTTTGTCTAATGCATGATTTTTCCCAAAGTAGATCATTGTTACAATGTAAATTAGACAGACTGTACTGTGTCCCAATTCATTCTTAAAGATTTAAACTTGAAAAATCAAAATTGAAGATTTGAGGCTCAAGTTGGGATCTGATCATCTGATTTGTGATTGTGTCAGCTGTTTAAAATCTCCATATAGGTGTTACTGCATTCTGAACATCAATTTTTGATTCAAGGGCTGCAATTTTTTTGCTCAATGTAAATATCTGCCCTGTAATCTTACACTAATGGTCCTGTATCTCCCTTTAATAACATATAATCATAGGTGCCATTTATAAAGCCTTCCACCTCTTGCATGTAAGCTCTCCAATCAATTTCAGTATCTATTGGAATGAAAATAAAATATATTTAACAAAACAGGTGATTATTTATTTTTTTTTTGGTACCAGTCCTTTATTTAATTGCCAGAAAATGTAATGATAGAGGTGTTAGCCTACTGTCTTGAGCATAAACAAATAGGCTGTGTAGCAAAATTCAATACATTGTATACTTATTATATAGGCCTAACCCTTTATTCCATACAATACACCTAGGCTAATGCTTCTATAAGAGAGTATCTCTTATAAAAGCTTATACTAAAAGGTATGCAATTGTACACAATTATAAGAATAACAGGCCGTGTTCTTGAAGAATATCACTATGTGCAGAGAGAAATACTAGGCTTACTAAAACTCTGAAGACTGAGACCCATGGTCATGCTTAGTGGTGGGTTATGATAATGATACTGAAGTCCTTGAATTTTTTAAAATTCATTTTAATATTTTAGATTTAGGTCTTAATATGACTGAGTTACCTCCCCTAGATATCATGTGTGAGGATTTGTTTACATTGTACTTACACTTTATTTTGTGAATAACCAAAACATTGACCACGATTTCTGACATCAGCATAAGAAACATGGCAGGAATAGCATAATTGGGGTCGAAAATGAATTTCTTGAACCGAGATAGTGCAGATTTCTTAGAATCTTTTTCGGTAATTTTTTTCACGGAGGCTGCCATCTTGGAATTGGATACCCAAAATTTTATTTTCATATAAATTTGGCATTTGTAATAATAGATTCTACAGTTTTATTCAATCATGTGATATTCAGAATGATTAAAATAAATATAATTATGGCTCAATGTCTAGGTAGCAATTAATCACCAAGAAGTCTAGATTTACTGTATTTTCGTTTTGGTAAGGTATAAAATCTTAAATCTGTTATCATCCGTAAACAATAATGGTCGGAAAATTTCTTTGATCGATTTCATTTCACATAAATTTATGAAAATGTTGATCGAATATATATTTAATTTATTTTTTCTTGTAGCTGTGCTCTCCTCATATGTTTTCTGTACAAATGAAGTCACATATGAGGAGCCCAAGCAAGTTTGTACTTATTTTTGTAAGTGTAATGCCATTAATTCTTCCATTGCATAGACACACTGAATCTATTCAACCTCACAGGCTCCAACAAATGATCCGGCTCTGAGAGGGTCTGAAGTCGACCTGCTTTTGAAAGAGTCCAGTGTTAGATTGTGATGAGAACATAGTCTGTTAAAAACACTGGCCTAGGTCACAAAGTAAAGTTTCATGATAAACAAGGTCTAAGTCAACGGTTAAGAGTGGTGTTATGCTGCCCAATAAATGACATGTGCTCTACCAAATGCAAATCTTTTGTTTTTCGGAATGCTGTTTGATATGGTTAACTGTGGGAATACAGGATGATTGCAGATATTGACTACTCAAGTCAATGATTAGATAAAAGTTTTCCTCTGACCATCAGCAACTGATTGCAACTGTGCTTTTCAGTTCTAAACAAATGGTGCAGAAAAGTAGGATGTAAAACTCATTTCATTTCATTTCAGTTTTAAACAAACTAGGGCAATGACTTTGTGCTATCATTTTTCGATTTGTTTGTTTGGCTTTTTTATGCAATTAGTGTCACTAATTCTTTTGATCTTTTGTATGTGTGTCAATATCATTATGAAGATGTACACTATTGAATTTGGTGATGATCCGATGATTTTCTCTAGAGATATTGCATAAAACTCTGATATCGCGTTCGTTTTTTTTTCTTCACTTTTTTGGCTCGTGCTCACTCTACAGACTACAATTCTCTATAGATTCTTTTGATCTTTTGTATGTGTGTCAATATCATTATGAAGATGTTCACTATTGAATTTGGTGATGATTCGATGATTTTCTTGAGAGTTATCGCATAAAACTCTGATATCGCGTTTGTTTGTTTTTTTCACTTTTATGGCTCGTGCTCACTCTACAGCCTACAATTCTCAATGAAATCTTTTGATCTTTTGTATGTGTGTCAATATCATTATAAAGATGTGCACTATTGAATGTGGTGAGGATCCGATGATTTTCTTGAGAGATATCTCATAAAACGCTGATATCGCGTTTTTTTCACTTTTTTGGCTTGTGCTCACTCTACAGGCTACGAAATAGAGTTTGTTTTACAGTTCACATTTAGCTCTTTATCAAGCTGCTGGTGGGCGTATTCGCTTGCGAGACTTGCTGCAAGCCTATGTTTAACTATATGAGAGCCAATAAGGAATAAGAAAAATCTATATGTATTGAGGTTTGTGCATATTAATTATAGAATATTTTCATGAAAAAAGGATATTTCAAATTTGCAGATGATAACCGGTTTGCAGAATATACAAGTGGTTTAGTTAATTGTTCATGGTATACAGAGAAAGCTTGTTGTAAGAGAACAGAAGTTACTTCAGTTTTCTCTAAAATGGGTCCATTGTTTGCAGCATCAAAAACTTGTGCTAATATGATGAATTATTTGATGTGTTTTTTTTGTAGTCCTGATCAACATATTTGGTATAAACAGTATGTTATATTTTTTTTACTAGCCTTTTCAATTTTCTTTTGGATCAGAATTATGCTGATAATCAGTTATAAGGTTATGCTTCAATTCTTCAAGAAGTAAGCTATTATTATCTTCCATCGAAAGTTTCTAAAATTTCGAAGATGAAAATTTACTTACACAGGTTTTCATGCATATTATTTTAAATTAAAAAATGGATCCTACAGATGAAGTAAACTATTCTACAAAATACTAAACACTAATTTTCATTTCACATTATTTTATTGGCAGACGAGCAAGAGTTTGTTCTGATTTTTGTACTGATCTTTATGATGAATGTAAAGATGCTGAATTTAAAGGTGAAAAAATAGGTAAGAACACTGGGTTTAAACAATGTTATTTACATGTGTACAAAGGAAAAAAAACACATAAAAATAACACAAAATTTGCAATTTTTATCCAAAAAAAACCTTTTTTGTTTTTGTCCAATTGATCTGAAACTTTTGACTTCACTTCTGGTTCTAATGGAAATCGATTCTCATTTCCAGTTGAACTACTTCGGTGTAATAAATATAGCGCAACAAAACCTATACTGATCAGAAAAAAAATTAAGTAATATTTTGGCTGCCATATTGTTATGAGACACTTTTGTTAAACTCGAAATTGGATGTGCGTTTTGTTGATTTTGGAGCTGATCTTTGAATTTTGCTTTTGCTTTTTTGCAACTTTCAGTTGATGTTTTTTTTCTCATGACCTTGACCTTTGATGACTTTGACCTTCATTTGATTTTTAAACGCCCACACGTAAGTATGGTCGTATATTGTGGTTGCCCTTGTCGGTCTGTCTGTCGGTCTGTTCGTTCACATTTACCTTGTGCTCACTCTACAGACTACAATTCTCTATTGATTCTTTTGATCTTTTGTATGTGTGTCAATATCATTATGAAGATGTGCACTATTGAATTTGGTGATGATCCGATGATTTTCTCTAGAGATATCGCATAAAACTCTGATAACGCGTTGTTTTTTTTTTCAGTTTTTTGACTAGTGCTCACGCTACAGACTACAATTCTCTATTGATTCTTTTGATCTTTTGTATGTGTGTCAATATCATTATGAAGATGTGCACTATTGAATTTGGTGATGATCCGATGATTTTCTTGAGAGATGTCGCATAAAACTCTATAACGCGCTTCGTTTTTTTTTTTTTCACTTTTTTGACTCGTGCTCACTCTACAGACTACAATTCTCTATTGATTCTTTTGATCTTTTGTATGTGTGTCAACATCATTATGAAGATGTGCACTATTGAATTTGGTGATGATCCGATGATTTTCTTGAGAGATATCGCATAAAACTCTGACATCACGCCTCTAGAAGGCAAATATTCAATCTTCAGGATTGAATAATAAAACCAAGTTTTGTCAAAATCCAGAAAGAAGCATGCCTTTTAGTGTTTAAGAGCTAAATTTGAAAGTGGTTTCAAGAACAAGGGGAATAACTCATACTAAATAATTTTCAATTCTTCTAATTTTCAATAGGGTTCATCCTTGGGTGATTACGAACATTCACACCAAGTTTCATCAAAGTGATTATGTGCTAAAAATTGAACGCGTTTTCAATAGCAAGGGCAATAACTCATACTAAATATTTTTCGATTTATCTGATTTTCAATAGGGTTTATCCTTGGGTGATAACAAACACTCATGCCAAGTTTCGTCAAAATCCGTCAAGAATTGTCCCTTCTAGAGCGTTTACAAGCTAAAATTTTAACGCGTTTTCAAGAACAAGGGCAATAACTCATACTAAATATTTTTCAATTTTTCTGTTTTTCAATACGGTTTATCCATGGGTGATAACCAACACTCATGCCAATTTTCGTCAAAATCCGTCAAGAATTGTGCCTTCTAGAGTGTTTACAAGCTAAAATTGAACGTGTTTTCAAGAACAAGGGCAATAACTCATACAAAATATTTTTCAATTATTCTGATTTTCGATAGGGTTTATCCTTGGGGGATAACAAACACTCATACCAAGTTTCAACTAAATCCGTCATGAATTGCACCTTCTAGAGTGTTTACGAGCGTTTCAAGAACAATGGCAATAACTCATAGTAAATTTTTCGATTCGTCTGATTTTCAATAGGGTTCATCCTTGGGTGATTACAAACAACCATACCAAGTTTCGTCGAAATCAGTCGAGAATTGTGCCTTGTAGAGTGTTTACGAGAAATTGCGGACGGACGGACCGACGGAAGTAGGTGACGGCAATATACACCCCCCATTTCATGTGGGCGTATAAAAATCATCGGATCATCGCCAAATTCAATAGTGCACATCTTCATATTGATATTGACACAAATGCAAACAATCAAAAGAATCCTTGGAGAATTGTAGCCTGTAGAGTGAGCACGAGCAAAATAAGTGAAAAAAACAAACGCGATATCAGAGTTTTATGCAATATCTCTGAAGAAAATCATCGGATCATCACCAAATTCAATAATACAAAAGATCAAAAGAATCAATAGAGAATTGTAGTCTGTAGAGTGAGCACGAGGTGAATGTGAACAACCACAATATACGCACATACTTATGTGTGGGCGTATAAAAAAAGGAACCAAATTAGAATTTCCATATTTTCAATTTTTGACATTCACCTTTGTTGACCTTTGATTTTGTAGGATCAAAGGTCATTGATCTTGGTTATCTATTTATACTTTCATATTTGATGTCCGAAGTCAACTTCCCCTTTTATACCATTTGTATTTTAAAGTTTTATGGCTGATATCTTGTGACATTGACCTTTGTTAACCTTCTCACAAGGTCAAAGGTCAATGACCTTGGCCATCTACTAATACTTTCATAATAGGGATTCTGACGTTGAGCTTGGTGAATGTATATTTTAAGATCTATATGATGTAGAAGCTTGATATTTGGAACACAACTAGACATTTTAAATATAAATTCAACTATGATAAAAAAAAGTTGAGGTGGGCGTGGCACATTCGGGTTAAATTATGTATTTTTACATTTTATGAAAAGGTGCATGAGTTGCATAAATTACATTAATTTTGTTCTAAAAAGGAGCTTTTCACACAATTTCCCAGTCTCTTTGGCCAGTTTGTGTTAAAATCTCATTTGTTTCAGCTTTGTAGTTCACCAAATGGAACAGGGTTTAGAAATTTCATATTTTTAATTTTTGATCGTGATCTTTTTTGACCTCCACTTTTGTAGGATCTAAGGTCATTAGCCTTTGTTTTTGTATTTGTGCTTTCATATTTGATGTCAAATGTAAGCTTCTAGATTTATAGCTGTATGCATTTTGAAAATTTGATGAGTTATATCTTGTGATATTGACCTTTTTAAAGGTCATTGACTTTGGCTATTTGCTGATACTTTCATTTCTGATGTCTACTTCTGGTTGCACAACCTTCCAAAGACAGACACCTAGAAGGTATATTTTTTAAGAGTTTCTTGCCACATTAGAAAAATCCCACTCAGTACCACGTGTGGCTTTTGTTGTTTATTATTTCTGACATCTGCACAAGGAGGTATCTTATCTATCCCGACTATTTTGATGTAATTATATTGTCTCTTTTTAGGAAGTAATTATGAGAATGGTTCTATGTTTTGTGAAGCTCAAGATTTTAGTGTAGCTGATAGTGGCTGTTTTAAATTTGATCCTAAAGTTTTTGATGGAGCTGTTCAACATTTGAATTATTTTCTCCCGTTTGTGACTAGTCTGATTATGATAGTATCTGTATTAATCATATAGTTGATGTGATATAATAATTTTTTTTTACTCAGTCAAAATCCTGTAGATAGAATTGAGGAATAGATAGTTAGTGGAATTGTATATGAAAAACAGTATAGTTATGAGCTCTGGCAGGTGCTAGGTTAGCAGTGAAAAAAAGTATACATAATAGCAGGATGATATAGTCACAACAAAATTTCTGTTATATAATGAGGTTTTTTCCCCAAATAGAACAGAACAGAATTAAAATTTTAAACATCGAATAAGAGGTTAAATGATGTGGCAATACAGTATTATTTGTAGAATTTTATTTTATTTTATACTCAATGTTTCATTTCATCATTACATGTCTCGATTGCTTTGTTATGATGTATTACAATTTATTGAATCTAGATAAAACTTGTAACGTTGTAAACTCAAACATTCAGTTTTAATTTCATTCTTTTATTTATACATCAATGAGTTTGTATCTTCTAATAGATAATAATCTTGCTTTATCTGATAAGTATTTCTTTGTATCCAATGATCATTTTGAACGAATTATAGAGATTGTAAATAGGTTGTCTGCAATTCCATTAGAAGAAAGTGTTTAATGATGTCAGTAATCGCTAAGGGCATTATGTGAAGAGGCATATTTTGAGATAAGTGACATCATAAAACACTTGGTTTTAGTGGAATTGCAGGAACCACAGACATCTGATTGAAAATTAGAATTTTGCAAATTGATTCTATCAGTGTCTCCTATAAAAATTTAGAAAACCTTTTTACAATCCTTTTAAAAATACTATATAAAGCTTTAATCATACTTAATTAATGACATTCATGGTGTCACCAAATTTTAGGCTCATGGTTTTTAAAAAATGGTTATAATCAGACTTTTAACATTTATAATCTACAGAAAGATTTTTTTGAGAGTCCTTACACTTCGTGTTTTTACGGATTTTAGTCCCAGTTTGTTATTTATTGTCAATTCTTTTTTTCTTTTTTTTCAAAATTTACACACCTGTCTGTACTTAGACTGCAGTAAACCTTTAACTTTCCTAATCCTTCTGTTGCGGTAACATGTTACATAAATATAAATTAGAACATTTTTGCAAAACTGGAAGTGCCACAGTTCAACATGTCATGTATTTGGGTCGATTTTCTTCTAGTTTTCATTTTTGGAATCTACATACAATATCTAATATTATAGCAGTTGAATAATTTCCTTTGTAATTGATAAATGTCAACGAAATTAAGCTGATTGGTAGACATCGAAATTCTACAGCTGATTTTTTATACACCCACATGAAATGGGGGAAGTATATATTGCCGTCACCCATGTCTGTCCGTCCACAATTGCTCGTAAACACTCTACAAGACACAATTCTTGACGGATTTTGACAAAACTTGGTATGAGTATTCGTAATCACCCAAGGATAAACCCTATTGAATATCAGAAGAATCGAAAAATATTTAGTACATGTTATTGCCGTCATTCTTGAAAACGCGTTCAATTTTTAGCTATAGAAGGCACAAGTCTTGACGGATTTTGACGAAACTTGGTGTGAGTGTTTGTAATCACCCAAGGATGAACCCTATTGAATATCAGAAGAATCGAAAAATATTTAGTACATGTTATTGCCGTCATTCTTGAAAACGCGTTCAATTTTTAGCTATAGAAGGCACAAGTCTTGACGGATTTTGACGGAACTCGGTGCGAGTGTTTGTAATCACCCAAGGATGAACCCTATTGAAAATCAGAAGAATCTAAAAATATTTAGTATGAGTTATTGCTCGTAAACACTCTAGAAGGCATAAATGACGGAACTTGGCATGAGTGTTTATTATAACCCAAGGATGAACCCTATTGAAAAATCAAAAAATATTTAGTATCAGTTACGTGTTCAATTTTTAGCTTGTAAACATTCCAGAAGGCTCAATTCTTTACAGATTTTGACAAAACTGGGTGAAATTGTTTATTATCAATCATGGATGAAACCTATCTAAAATCATTTTTCATAGAAGTTATTGACCTCATTCTTGAAAACGCTTTCAAATTTTAAGGCATGATTCTTGCCGGATTCTGACAAAACTTGGTTTTATTATTCGGTACCGCGCTGAAGATTGAATATTTGCCTTCTAGAGTTTTCACGAGCTAAAGATTGAACACGTTTTCAAGAACAAGGGCAATAACTCATACTCAATATTATTCAGTATCGCCCTAAAGAGTTCAAAAGAAGTGTATGACTGAAGGTTGAATATTTCATATTGGTGATTGTTACTGTACTGCTAAATATTTTTATTCAAAACCAAAGCTGCCAGTGGGCGTATATTACCTTGCCTGGCAAGCTATCTAGACTGAAAGTTATACTTGATATGAACAACTTTTGTAAAACTCAAAATGGGGCCTCAGAGTTGAATTTGGGCATGCATAATTTTGATGTGTATGTAATCTGTACACATTTGCTTACAAAAACTAGGAAGCCGTTTTTTATACGCCCACATTTAAGATGGGCGTATATTGTAATCACCCCGTCGGTCCGTCCATCCGACATTTGGCTCGTGCTGCCTCTACAGGCTACAGTTCTTTATGGATTCTTTTGATTTTTATTTTGTATGTCAATATCATTATGAAGATGATCCCTATTGATTTTCGCGATGATCGGATAATTTTTCACCGAAATATCGTGTCTGACCTGACGTTTTACTCTATTAGCTATATTGTGCAACTCGTGCTCACTCTACAGGCTACAATTCTTTACAGATTCTTTTGATTTTTATTTTGCATGTCAATGTCATTATGAAGATGATCCCTATTGATTTTCCTGATGATCGGATAATTTTTCACCGAAATATCGCGTCTGACCTGACGTTTTACTCTATTAGCTATATTGTGCAACTCGTGCTCACTCTACAGGCTACAATTGTTTACAGATTCTTTTGATTTTTATTTTGTATGTCAATGTCATTATGAAGATGATCCCTATCGATTTTCGCGATGATCGGATAATATTTCACCGAAATATCGTGTCTGACCTGACATTTTACTCTATTAGCTATATTGTGCAACTCGTGCTCACTCTACAGGCTACAATTGTTTACAGATTCTTTTGATTTTTATTTTGTATGTCAATGTCATTATGAAGATGATCCCTATCGATTTTCGTGATGATCGGATAATATTTCTCCGAAATATCGTGTCTGACTTGACGTTTCACTCTATTAGCTATATTGTGCAACCCTGTAGTCACTAAAGACTATTTAATCATTTAGCCTGGCAAGCTATCTTTCAATTTTGCTTTTGCTCTTTTGCAACTTCCAGTTGAAGTTTTTTTTTTAAGTTTTGCAATTTTTATCTCCTGACCTTGGCCTTTATAAAGGGAATCTCTTAAAAGTCTCTTACAATTTGCCACATTAGCAAAGTCCCACTCTGTACCACGTGTTTATTTTATTGTTTTGTTTATATTTTTTATGAATGTGCAATATTTAACATGCTTTAATTTAATAAATATTAGATATATAAAAGTGTGAAACCTTTAAGAAAATTGAATATAGAATTATACTTAATATTGTACATGTATCACTAACTAAAATCCAGTTCCACCTAATACATTTTTGTGCATTGAAATGTAAGCTGAAGTTTTAGATTGATTTTTATACAACCGCATGAAAGGGGTGGGTCGTCTGTCCGTCCGTCCGAAACTTGGTGAGTGTTTGTAATCACCCAAGGATGAACCTTATTGAAAATCAGAAAAATCAAAAAATAATCAGTATGAGTTATTGCCCTTGTTCTTGAAAATGCGTTCTATTTTAGCTTGTAAACACTCTAGAAGGTTCAATTATGATTGAATGAAAAGGATCTATCCTTAAATTGTCTTTCTCTCTGTATTTTGACGAAACTTGATGTGAATGTTTGTTATCACCCAAGGATGAAAACAGAAAAATCAAAAATATTTAGTATGAGTTATCGAAAAGTTTCAGAAGCCATAATTCTTGACAGATTTAGTCGAAACTTGGTGTGAGTGTTTATAATCATCCAACCCTATTAAAAATCAGAGAAATCAAAAAATATTTAATACGAGTTATTGCCCTTGTTTTTGAAAATGCTTTCAATTTTGAGCTGATAAACACTGAAAATCTTATCAGATTTTTAACAAAACTTGGTAATATTATTCAGTATTGCCTCAAAAAGTGAAAAGAAGTGTATGACATGTAGGCCTATTTGATAGAAATTGAAGATTGCCAATTTCAACCTGTGATCCTGAACAGTCAAAATGCTATAGGTCCTTTAGTTTACAATAATAGATTTGTATTAGTTTTTCCTTTCCTGACCTCTTTTGGTCAGTGATGCAGGTAATAGTGGCTGACATGGAAAAAGCGTCTAGTCGTTAGGATGGGACAATAAACTGAGGCCTCGTGCACATTAAAGATCCCTCTACAGTTGGAAATCGAAAAAGAGCAGGCTTATGCCGCTGTCCTGGCAAAATTTCCCTCATCACACCCTGCATGGCGTTGCCCGTCTTCATTTGCCCACATGGTGAAGAAAAGTGGGGCGTAAAACTCCAATCATTTCATTTTTTACTATCTTGGAGCTCATATTCCATATAAGACATGATACATTTGGTTATATACCTCATTACTCGTGGTTGTAGACAAGCTAACTCGGTTTGTTAAAGCGAGTTAACTAATCACCGTTGACTTGGAGTCTTGGGTGTATGTTTTCTTGTGACTTTGAAGAGACAACAGTTTTGCTGTCACAGTCCAATTTAAAGTGTTCAGAGTTGTCTCTAACATTGCCAGTCTCACAAAAAATGGTCCGAATTGTCTTTCAAAAGTGCCATTTGTCTTTGAAATTTGGTCGAGTTGTTCTTATTTCAAAACTAATAGGGGATATAAAAGAGGAATCAGGACAACTCGGACCAAAACAAACTCGGCCCACTTTTTTTATCAAAAATTTTCACGACAAACTTTTTATCCAAAAACTCGACCCATTCTTCATTACAAGCTCGGTCCACTTTTTTTTTTGACTGGGAATATAGTCTATGCTCGGGCCAAGTTTTAAACAAATTATTGGAGTAAGGTCTCCGTCACACGTCAGTACGTCAGTAAACACGTCAGAATTGAATTATTGACTAATATTTACGCTTTAAACCTTACTTTTTAATTTTAATGTAATTATCTTTCACTAGGTTACTCTAGTCTAACTCTAAGTTTGTCGTAAAGAAATAATCACTATTTGGTCCAATTCTCGTAAAAGAAATGGGTTCACTAACAGAGATCTTTTAGGATGTATTTCGAGTTCAATAATAAATATTATTGGTCCAATGACGTCTAAAAACATTATTATAGTGTATAGGATGTCTATAATGGTGTAGACGTTATAATTTGCAAGGGGCATTTTGCATTTACCATAACGGAAGTGGCGCGAGTAACTTCCTGTAGATATCCAAAATGGCGGATAAATCAAAGTATTATTGAAGGATTTGAATTACGCCTAAATCTACTTACATAAACTTTGTTTTCATAAACTTATTAACTTTTACTAACTTTGTGTGATAAAAAGCGAACAATTCGAAGATTTTCATTAAATGGTAAATTAGATGAATTATAGATCTATCGATACCATGTTTAAAACAAAAGAAAATCTTTATGACGAGATCGACACGTCGTATCATCGTCATCGTTCGATTTCCAAGAGAAGTGATAGATCTACCACTAGGTCTCATGAAACCACAAGTCCAATATTTGACCGATCTGACTCATTTCATAAATTCCAGAGATACAGTCATCCTGAGAAGAAATATAATGGTAGTTGTAGAACAAGTGATAAAAACTCAAATATGGACATATTTTCTTTGCAGCCTGACCGAGAAAAGGACAAAAAATATGAAGACCTTGAAAGTTTAAACATTATCACGAAGACACAATCAAACTCACAACACTCAAAATCAGAGTTCTCTCGTGATAAAAGAAGAAATTCACCTTGCTTCAAAGGTAAATCTTTCATCAGGTGGCCTTCTGATTCTGAATCAAATTCTAGTTGTGATGAAGATGAAACTGTTCCCTTGTCTAAAATTGCTGCCAGTAGGCCTAAAGGTTCTGTAAGTGATGAGAAATATTTAGAGAAACTGTACCCATCAAGGCGACATTTAAAGGAAGATATTAAACGAAAGAAATTAAATGGTTTTGACACAAACATAACAAATATAGTTAAATTATCAAGAGCAGGAAACCAATCGCAAAGTAAGCCTTCCAGAATTTCAAAGACTAAAAATTTAGATGTGGTTAATTTCGCTTGTGATGACAAAATGAATGGAAAACATTTTGCTCAATGTGCCAGTGCTGACATTCATGGTTTTCAAAAGTCTTTTCCCAGCACCCTAGAAACTAAACTGACCACACCTAAAAAGGATTCTGGTGATTCTATGAAGAAATTGTTGCCAGTAACACCAGATTTATTTGATTCATCTTTATCTCCATCAGGGTTTAAATTCAACAAGGTCACAACACCAGAAACCCCTTTTCATTCTTTCAAGTGTGACAATACCGGTACATCTATTTCTAAGGTGAAGATTACAGTCCCTGATTCACCAGACATTGTATATCTTGGAGCTTCTGGTCCACAGTTCTCCATGAATTCCCCCTCTTCTAGAAGAAAGCGAGCAGGAGTTTCTGTTAAAAAACACCACAGAAAAAAACAAAAAATCAATGAAACACAATCTGAAGATGATATTCTACAGTTAGTTGAACAAATCGATAAGGATGAAGACTATGCTAAAAAACTTCAAGAAGAAATGGATAAAGAATTTGCATTTTCTCTTGCCCAGGGTGAAACAGTTCATCAGTTTCCTGTTCCTCAATTGCCTTCACCAGTATTACCACCATATTACAATGGACACAGTAACGCTTTTCATCAACAGCATAGTTGGCAAACACAAACATCCCTTCATAGTCATAACAGAGTATCACATTTTCATAGAAGAGGAATGCCAAATGAGATTGATATTGAAAATCATTTATTAGCTTTACTGGAAGAAACTCCTCCCAGACGAGGACCAAGAGGAAGAAGAGGAGGAAGAAGACAGCCTCGTTCTAGATATGGTGCCATGATCCAGTCACCAATTGGTGATGGAAATGACTATGATGTATTGTTACAGTTAGCAGAGCGGATGGGGGATGTGCAACAAAAAGGTATCAACAATAACCAAATTAATAGATTACCTATAAAGAAATTTAAAAAATATGATAAGAATAATTCTGTTGATGAGGAATGTTCTATTTGTATGTGTGAATATGAAGATAATGATTGTTTGAGGATTTTGCCATGTTTTCATTGTTTTCATTCTGGGTGTGTTGATAAGTGGTTAACAAACAATGCTTCCTGTCCAGTATGTAGAGTCGATATTGAACTAGACTAGGAAATGGAAAAATTACTTTCCTGACTCCTATGACAATTAATTTGAATTAGTGATGTTTTATTCATTTTTAATGTAAAGGATTTTTTTTTTAAAAGTGCCACTATCAAGAGTGACAAAAGTATTAATATTGTCATATTGATGCATAATTACTTAATATATTAACATAAAACCTGAAAGGGCTTACATTGATATTTATATATCTAGATTTCTATCATTATATCTTAAAATTTGTTTTTCATTGTACACTGTATGATGTAATCTTACCCTACTCTCTGGCCACATCAAGTTCTAAATCACATTTTGGCTATCATTTGTCGTATGAATTGAAATATTAATCTCCAAATATTGCTGAGAGTCTTCGATTGTCTTCGGTTGATGAAAATGCCAACCATGGAAAACAAAATTATTTGAAACTATGATTTTACAGAGGGAGGTTTTCAGTTCAAAATGTGTGTCATTTTCACATGAAATTTCTTGGAGAGAAGTGTGTTCAAGCCAAAAATTTTCAAAACTTATATTTTCTTGGACACAAAGGCATTCTAAGACAATTGGTATGCACTTGAAAATCATATTTTTAATATTTGCGACACGAGAAAAAATTCAATTTAGATTTGGTCAGAGAGTAGAAGTTAAATGGTTGACAATGATAATGATTTTATTTCTGTCTCAATCTTATAATACGGTACGAAACAATTTGTTCCTCAACCGATCTCTTTCTTGTTCAACACATTTGTGTAGGCTCTGTGATCTCTGGGAGTTTATTCTAAAGTAGCCATTAGTTAAGTTAATTAATGAGTTAAAGAGTCACATGGCCACAATAAGACTGGCAGAATCTAAGAGTTGAACTAGTATGGCAACTGATGTCTCTGATCTTTGAATGGCATTTAGTAAAGGTGTTGGATATAATGAAAAAATTCTTATGGATTACAATTACTAACTTTATTCATTGCTTGATAAAGACCAGAGAACACTGGTCGAAACGTCGCTCAAATAAAGTTAGTAATTGTAATCCATAAGAATTTTTTCATTATAACTGTTGTCTCTTTGGGAAAATGTTATCGATCATCACTGAAAATTGAATAATTGCAGTTACTATCAGTTGCCATTGTTTTGCTTTCGAGCAAAAAGTGACTCCAATCATGGTCACAGGATAATTTGGTCACAGTAATGTAGCCATATGGTAATATAGCTTGCCAGGCAAGGTAATATACGCCTACTGGCAGCTTTGATTTTGAATAAAAATATCTGGCAGTACAGTAACAATTACCAGTATGAAATATCCAACCTTCAGTCATACACTTCTTTTGAACTCCTTAGAGCGATACTGAATAATATTGAGTATGAGTTATTGCCCTTGTTCTTGATAACAAGTTCAATTTTTAGCTCATGAAAACTCTGGAAGACAAATATTCAATCTTCAGCGTGGAAATGAATAATATAACCAAGTTTTGGCAAAATCCAGCAAGAATCATGCTTTTTAGTGTTAAGAGCT